TTCCCTCGCAGGAATATCGAATATCGGAGTAAATGGCTGTTCGAATTTCACGATCGAGAGCCCACTTGCGACTATAATCTCCGCTTCGACGATGAAATTCCGCGCACGTACGGCTCCGTTCGGTCGCACCCGACGTCTTAGTCGAGAGTATACATTAATCCGACAAAGAAGCTACTTTCCATATTATCGCGATTTATATCAGCCGTCTGACGGAGGAGCGCACGGCTATATTTTCTCACTTAATTCATTCCGCAGGAATGAAGATAAAACTTTGGCGACGGCGAGCCACCGATTTTCTTCGAGACTAATGACATTAATACCGCCGGTCCTCTTCCTTCCACGTTTTGTAATATCTGCTCGCCGATCCTTACTTGTGCGCGCACGGGGATTTTCAGTGCTGGATTTCTCAAATAGTGCCCGCCAACTTGATATTTAAGGCAAAGTAAATTATTAAAAGGATATTGACGCGTAAATTGCAAAATATGCTATCATTATGAAGATATTTTATTTGTGTTACTTCAATTTAATAGTAGGAACAGATTTTCGTTTATTATTGTAGTCATGTTTTTTAGTATTTCGGCAATATTTGGTAGTAAAAAGTAAAATGGCCAATTGTTTTATATTGCGTAATAGAAGTTTTCATTAAATATAGAATTACAATAGGATTTAATCAATATTTAGTTAATAAAATCCTTGAAATAAAATATTCTCAGGATGGCCTCTACACATGGGGCAACACGTTTGCTAAATTCTTCACTGTGAATCTTTTCTCGAGGATTCTTTTGCGAGACCCTCGCGCGTCGCATGTAGAGACAGTGAGTAAGAAGGAGGGATCGTGCACATTTGCATGAAGCTGCCATAAGCGATCCTCCGTCGCTCTTTATTTAAGCACTAAATTCAGTATTACGGTCACCCATCCTGCTAAGCGAGACATGTATAAAAGCCCCTTCGGCAAAAAAATGCGATACGGGGCGAGAAACTCGCACGGGTATTGCGCGAGCGTACTCATACATGACCTTGGAAATTAATGGCACATCCAACGTAAAATTATTTTCAGCCCGTCCAATATCCAATATTACGAGGAGAAATATATGAGTGCGCCGTGACCACTTTCGATCTGCCGACTGTTTACGAAAAATCAAGCATGCCGCCAAGACCTTCGTAAATGCGAATCCATTTGGAATCGATATGATGGCACTGCAAATATTAAACGAGGATGCTTGAATCTATTTTAGTTTTTAATTGCTGTATACTGACTTGTGTTATTTTTCATTTTTGTTATCAGTTTCAAGATAATTAATTAATGTAGGAACTGTTCTTTGTATTGATGTGAACTGATAACAAATGTATATGTCAACAGTCAGCGTGTAGGTTCTGTCTAGTTAGATTCTAAATAACGAATAGCAGAAAGATCAATAGTTGTCGATGAGCAAACATTTTTTAGACGAGGATGACGTATTTCGACGTGTAAAGGATAATTTGACTCTTCATTCCTATACCCGGCTTTATTTTTACATTATTAACATCCGCACATTAATGATTATTGGTGGAACTTGATAAAGATCTTGTTATTCAATATTAATTAAATAGTGAGAAATAATTTTGTCCACGTTAAAGAAGTTAAAGAAAATATTACTGATATTTAATATATATGGAATTAATAATAAAATTTCATACTATAATCGATCACTGCAATGGCGAAAGTTTCTCGCAACGTTTTAAGATAATTAAATTTCTACTAAGTGAGTGCTTTTAATTAGGTCTTAACAAGAGTAATTTAGCTATATTGATTTTTAATGGCAAGTTTCGTCTAGAGGCGATATTAAATTCCCTAATTAATGGCGTAACGAGCAAGTGAAATTCGATGTAGCTATATTGAAACAATGCAAACATCCGGGAATCAAAAATACGCACTATCGAATCTACGTGCGAGCGTGTGTGTGTGTGTGTGTGTGTGTGAGAGAGAGAGAGAGAGAGAGAGAATGAGAGAAAGAGAGAGACAAGGAGAGAGCATTCGACTTTTTATCAAACATCAATACAACGATTATCTGAAAGGAATAAAACTACCCAATTCCATTCAACTTCAACTTTAGCCACAGAAAATTTTTCATGAAAAACTTTTCCAATCTTCCATCAGTATTTTCGTTCTGTTCTTTAATCGGTCACGAGTTTTCTGGCGAATTCAGTCCCACTGATAATGTAATCCTTACTTCCGATCATTATTCTTCCAGCAATTATTTTTTAAAAATTATTAGGTGTATTAAATTCCTTTTTTATGAAATTGATCCTCTCTTGATTGAGTCTTGATCTTCTCTTGATTGAGTCTCAGATTTTTATACCAGCATTTAAAGATTTAATTAATGATAATTTAAAATTAATATCAGTATAGATAAATATCTATATTATTTTTTCTTTTCAATCTAATAAAAATAAAATATATAGTTTTGCTGTATCATGATGCATCTGTCATATAATATAACATTTTAATGGTACTGAATACGTGAATACCTGAAATTAATTTTAATTAGATTTTACAAAGTTTCATAAACATGTTGATAAGGAGAGCTTTCAAAAATGAAAAGTATGAAAAGAGAAGATCAAGTTCGTCTCTTAGGCGATAGAAAAATTTGTAAGATGTTTTAATGGTCTTCGGGAAAGCCGGTGTTCTGATTAAATCGCCTTTCACGAACCAGCCGGTACTACTATTATAAAAGTTGTAACAGCTTTATTACGGCAGCCCGTAACGTGGCTGGAAATGGAAGAATTTTTAATTTTGTAATCGCACAAAGACGACGGCTCTTGAATTGAAGACTTGAGCGAATATTCAGCGTTTTCCTTTGTCGAGATGACGTCGCTTTTGTTTCTCTATTGGCTGCATGATCGAATCTCGAATTTAAAGTTTGTCAATTTAAAGTCATTTAGCTATCTTAAATAGTTATTTCTGAAGTCTCATTATCGATATATTTCTTATACTTTAATCCTCATTCAGAGGCAACATGAAGAGTTTGCTAGACTGCTCGTACAAAATAAAATTTCTTCGTGCGTATATACTTATATTTAGGACTTTGGTCACCTGACTTTATCTATATCGTTATTCTAACTTTGTTCTAGCATCTTCTGTAGTATCTGATCGGCAACGGCGCTCGTCGTCTTACGAGCGACAGTCAAAGTAAAAATATTATCACAAAATGCTTAAGGTTTTTTTTTGACATACTGCAATTTTGTAGATCAAAATATACACCAATAGATAGAAAATTAGTATTTTTTATTTGAAAAGGAATAGGTTTTGTTGGTTCTTACAACACATGAAATAGATATATGATATGATAAACGCGTAACATCTAGGAAGAAAAATTGTTTGAACGACGGGAACTAACGTCAATTCCAATTGCACAATCTCTTTATTTTGGCTTTCTCATGACCAGATCTTGGCTTTGTTCCCGAATTGGAAATGTCCTTTAGTCGACGGCAAAACGGACGCCTTGCGTGCGTCTTTATGACATATTTGTTCTTAATGTTAATAGTGCGAGAGTGAAAAATTTTATTCACGCGATATCACGCAAAAGTTAAAATGAAAGTAAAGTCTGCGAGTGCGTTTGCGATATTTTGTTCATGATGTATCTGCAAGTATTCGCCAGGATTCAAAGAAACTTTTATTTATTTTATTACTTTCCGATTTGCAATAAATTACATATTCTGAATTATATGGTCGTTTTGCCTCGCGAATTCGGGAGATTCCGAGCGTTTTCGCGCGCATATCGTCGAATCGCAGCAGCGCTGCCAAAACTCGGTAATATCGAATAACACTCATTCGACTTTACGTCCGAATCATGGCGCCATTAATTTTCCAATACCATTTGGTAGAACAATTGGGATATTAATAAAGAGAGTTCCTGTCTAGTTGAACTAGCTTTGAAGAATTTGGTGCATAGTGGAATATTCATAAATGTGTCAAATCTATTTTTTGTTTTAGAATATTTAATTATTTTATGTAATTATATAATTAATATTGCAATATCATCATATTGTCACGTTGTGCTTTTTAATCAATAAGTTATTTAGATTTTTATTTCACTTAAATAACTATAATTGCTTTATAAAAGTTGTTTATTAAGAAAAGTTGCTGTTTAATTAAAATAAAATATAATATGATAAGTTTCTAGAAATGTTAGTATAATTTTGTGCAAATCAGTAATTTAATATTTTCCATTGCAATATGATGCTTGTTGTTCACCTATCGTGTTTGTTCATTAATAATTCGTCTACTTGACCGCCGCGAATCATGTCGATTGGCTTTACGGAATTTCTTCTCGTCGTCGAGAAGATAATTCGATTCAATAGTGTTTGCATTGTGAGATTAATTGCCCTCGTTTTGGACTTGGGACTCGATATACTCATTCGATTGACAATGCTGAATATTCCCGCATTTATTGACAACAAACGCGCGGCGTCGTATTTCATTGAGCCTCATTCCGAGTGGGTTATTGCGACTCGTCATTTGCTTTGACGGTTGACTTACTATGATAACGTCAATCAAAGTGCTCATTTTACTGACAATGAGTTCATTTGTGTACACGTTAAATGTTGTTAAAAATTGCACGACAAATATTACTTTCATTAAAGTCGAGAATTCTCCAGTTAACTCAATAACACTGTAAAATATTGTCAAATTGGTTATTGTTTACAAATTTTTTATTATATTAAAAGTACCCCCTTTCTTTTCTCTCTTATCATGGCATAGTGTATTTCACATGTGTTAATTACTTTTTATATTTCTCACAAATTTTTCCATAGAGTTTTTATGGAAATATGTTTAAAAAATTAATAAGTTTTGATGCTTTGGAAATAAATTCTGTATTTAACGGATTATAATGATGTGCGATTATATTTCTTCCAAGATAGAGACATACGCGAGTTAGCACGAATATAAATGGCGAAAGTACACCGGCGAAAAATCTTGAGATAAAGTCTTACGTGAACGAAATATTGGCTTTTTTCAGTCCGCCGACTTTCAAAACAACGACTCCGACGTCGCGTACGCAATTGAAGCTGCAGCTGATGCGGGAGCAGCTGCAGGAGCAAGAGAGGCGACAGGCGGAGTTCCGGCAGAGCTTGCAGCAGCAGAGACCAGCTGCCGCACTGCCCAGACCAGTGCCGCCTACGCCATTGCCCACTATTGGCGTGGATGTTCCACCACAAGTATTGCAAGTATGTACTGTAATTATATATTGCCAAAATTTGCGTGAACGACCACAAGCAGTATTGCTCGCGCAAAAATCGAATCGTGATGTGAATGAGAATTATATTATGGTATATTGTATTACAGATTGTGCGATTATTCATTCTCTTTGCGCGAATAATTATCGAATTATATAATGTTACATATTGTAAAAGTCGAAATGCAAGTGTATTGGCGAAACATGTGTTTTATATATACATTTCTTTTATTTAATGTTAAAACTTTGTATCAGAACTGGAGAATTCGTGCTAAATACTTAAATATCGAAACCAAAATTTAACGCGGTCTTCTCAGAAAGAGTTTCGCTCTTTAAGGCTCCTGGGTAGTCACCGCAGCCATATTAGATTCGTGACGTCAGAAGCGAGAAATGACACGCCGAGAATTCTTGCGTGCCATTTCTAAATAAAATGATAATTTAACAAAGTAACACTCTAGATCGCTTTAAGACACCTGTAAAATTGTCCGAAAACTATGCTTTTTCCTTGACAGGTTATAAACAATCGTTAAATCAACCGTGAAGCGAAGCCTAATTATGCGAGAAAACACACGGTTGACAGCTGTCTGTATGAGTAGAAAATACTCCTTCTACGTTGGGCTTTCCCTGCTAATCTTAGTTTTCGGATAATTTTACAGGTTTCATGAACACGTCACATATCACAGCACTAACATTTAACGAATATTAACGAAATGGCACGCAAGAATAAATTGGGTAGTCAACATGTCATTTTTTCACGTCTAATAGTTCATCGATTCTCCACCTAAGACGCTGCATGAGAATTTCTGTCATATGGACATGTCGGTAACGGTACTAAGCTATATATATTCTGTATTTATCGCGTTTATTTTTTTGTAAACAAATTTTTGAATTATAAATTAGCATTTTGTATGTTATTCAGTAATTTACTTTTATCGTATCAATTGATTAGGTCAAACTGTTACACTATTTACTTATACAATAAATCGACTAGGTAAATTCGACTAGGTTTTTATTCCTACCACAATTATGTCGCCACTGTCAACGCGGAGTTCACGGCTACGAGACCAGGAGCCTTAAGTAGCGAAGAGCATCCGGTAATCACTGTTTGTGTTTCGGTCATTTAAAGCTTCGTGTGCAAATAAGTGTATATAAGGATGTGTTTCACTTTAAATAAAACACTTAAATTTTGAAAACACTTTGAGACATTTCTAGGAAAAAAATTTCAGATGAAAGTTGTGCGATTGCCAGAGAGATATAAGATAGTGACTTCAGTTTAACCTTGAGTTCTTCCGCCAAGGCCAAGTCAAGATCAACTTGAAATTTTTAAAGAGCACTATGTATTATTTTCGACATTTTTGAAAGATTAATTTTTTTCTGAATTTAACGATGTACAAACAATACAAGGTTGCATAAGAAAAGAAAAAGTTAACCAAAGTTGAGTGACACGGAACACGATGCGCACATCAGAATCATGTTTTATATAACTAAAGTTTTTTCTCGAAACTTTTCTCATGCAATCTTATACTTTTTATACATCATTGAACAATTAAATTTGTGAAAATGCTAAAAAAATATAGGTATGGCGCTATTTAAAAAATTTAAGTTGACTTGAATCTTGATAACAGAACTCAAAATTACTATTTTATGTTTTCTTTAACGGTTATACAACTTTTATTTGAAACTTTTTTCTCAAAAGTATCATGTTTTCGAAATATTTACATTATTTAAAATGAGACTCTTCCTTCTTCTCTCTCTCTCTCTCTCTCTCTCTCTCTCTCTCTCTCTCTCTTTCTCTCTCTATGTGTGTGTGTGTGTGTGTATATGTGTTGTGATGAACATGGCTAAGATAACGATATCTTATAGTTTCGAGATCCCGGTAGTTTGCCGTATCGCGGTAAGGCGAACCGAATTCTGTAGCATCGTTAATAGATCCATTCGGTACACCACGTCTATACTGTTAAACCTCCTGGAATAATGCTAGCTAGTAAGAGAGCGTACGAAAGGCAAGGAGGGCAACTAGTCGCCCGATGGTTTATCTTGCAATTAGCTCCGCGCAACATGGTTGTTGCATTTACGGAAGACCGAACGCAGTTACCATAATGTCTTCGTTACGTAACATTTTCACACTTATTTGTTTAGCTCAGTAAGATCATCTCTTTAAGGTTACATATTTTCTTTAATTTGGATGCTGTTGTAATAATTTTAAGATTTAGAATGATTATTGTAGGATAATTTAGAACAATGTCGAAATTTAATCTTTTTATATTAGATACATTAGATATTCCCATATTAGATGTATTAGACAACATTTCTGGATCCTTGATCTTTAATCCGTGAGTTTTCTTAATTTTCCTTGTTGCAGTATTTGCACACTCTGTGCGAGGAAGACAAATCAATAATGCGAATAATGTTGCAAATTAAGGCTTAACAAATTTTAGTTTAATCTTTATTTAAATCTCTTTTTTTTTTAGATCGTCGATTATTCAATATATTTACGAAATTAGAAATCTTCATAATTAATAAATCGAAGCGTAATAAGTAATAAGAATAAAATTGCGTACGAAGAATGATAGTTGACCGAGGGTCTCACAGTACACATGACACGCTGAGAATCTCAGGGCTAATGCAGTGATGTGCTGTTTGTTTAGGTGCGTACACTCTTGGAGAATCCAACGCGTTACCACGTAGTGCAAAAGCAGAAAAATCAAGTGCGTCAGTACCTGCATGAATCGTTCCGCGGCGGCGGTGGCGGCGACGGCAATGCGGTCGTCGGTGGTAGCGCCGGTAGCGAGGGCGGTGGCAGGACACCGGTCGACTCCGGGCCACCGCCCGTTCCAATGGTGGTGCAAAGTGCACCACCCGGCCCGCAGCTGCATCACCCAAAGCCGCAGCATCCTCATCTCGCTTCGTATCCGCACGGCCCCACGCTGCTGCCACATCATCCCGGTAACCCCACGGTAGTCTCGCCGAGCCCGGACCCCGCCACTACCGGCACCATGTCTCCAGGTCTGTCCAGCGTCGCCACCAGCAACTCCGAGGTAAGTGTGTAATGCATATAGCGATTGGATAGCACAAATAGAGCACAGTTTCTCAAATAAAAAAAAAAAACGTGAGAAATATCTGACAATGACCTACATCCAACTTTTTTCCTAAGTTAATCTAATGTGCAATTTTTGATGCAAAAGTTTAGTTAAAATTGATAAAAATTTATACCAAAGCCGAGAGATTAATTTTAAGTTTTGAGGATCGAAATATAGTAATAGAATCGCTACGGAAAATATAATTTTATTTCTTTCTGTTAATTTAAATTATCGTAACGTAATCTGTAAGTTGAAAAATGTGCGAGTTTTTTGATCAATCAAATTGAGACGACGTATTTATACGAGTACGTATCGAGACGCAACGACGTGAGGAAAGCTATTTTTCTAAGTCATTCCCGTTCATTCCATCCAATTTAAGTACGACGTTTTCGATTAACGCTAACTGGTCTTATGTAATCCATTGGTTATTCCGCATCGCCGGGCACAACTTCACTCTCTCGTTCGTTTAATAATTAATCACGGGTATTCTCAACATCAGCAATTCTTGCGCAATCTCGCGAAACACGCATTTGCAAATAATTTCTCGGCGAGATTTTAACCCATTTGCTCTCGTCGCCGGCCGATTCTTCGCGATCGTTGTTCGTCGCCGAGCGAGGCACATCGTTTTTTTCTTTTCTTGCAGTTGTCTTAAAGGAATCCGCAAACTCGAGAAATCGCGTATGCATTTAGCACGATACCGGGAGCACGTTTCACAACGCTGCAATGTCAAAATAGGATTCGCGGCACGTATGCGGTGCTAATTGCCGCCCAGGTCTGTAAATCGATCTGATTTGCGTCGCAAAGTAGATCCGTAAACAGATAAGAGGCAACTTTGAAAGTAGGTTCCTGAGCTTTGGCTCGTGTTCTGACCGCGAATTTAGTGTCGCGGGTTTTCGAATCGTTGAGGACATCATGTGTGCACGACATATTATTTTTACAAGACGAGAACGTTTCTATACTGAGAATAGCCATTTTTAGCGCCATATAACGTATGAAAATGCATATGAACAAACCACGTTTAAGGAAGCGCATTTGCAGCAGTGTAAATTCTTTTTAGCGAGATATATTTTAACCCATCCAATATGATGTTATCTTTTTTTGATATACTGCATATATAATATTTATAATATTGTATTGAGGTAATATTGTATATATTGTATTGTATGTTTGCTTTGAATGGTAGTAGATAAATTAAAAATTCGAAATTAGTATGTTTTATTTATCGTATTTTAAATTGCAACGTCTACAACGGTTTAGATATTAAGATGTATAAAGCCACTTCTCTCTCTCAAAGCATCAAATATGTTCCGCTGTGGACGAAGAGAATTTTACTATTAAATCCAGCTCTCTGATTTAAAATTGTTGCCAGTACCAGCTTATTACGACGTAATATTCCACGCAAAACTTAGAGTCAGCAAACTTTTAACGCCAAACACGCGCTGAGAAAGCGTCTTTGCGTCGCGTTCTTCTTAATTCGCTATCGACGCAGAAATTTTTGTCGCGATTAATCCACGTGGCTGTCATCAACGTTACAAAACTCTCGATGCATGTAAAGAGAACGCATTTTATCACCGAGTTTTTCTAATTCTCCTATGTCATAAGCTGAAAGCAGTAATATCCGCGCTGTCGTTGTGCGTGCAGTACCCGGTATATGGCGCGTATGAGAAACGAGCTAGTGGCTCGTTAACTCGTTAGCTTTACGATCTTGGAGCTCTTAATAAGGCGAAATTGTTTTTGGTGACGATGCACGTACACATATATACACACATGCGACACAGGGCGACCGTCTTTCAATTGATTCTTTGATCCGCCATGCCCCGCTGCGGAAGAACTCGTGTATACGGAGTGTCTCAACCGAGCGAACGTTTGAAACGTTCTCGATTTGCGAATCCAACCGGGCTTTCTCGCTTGCGATTTTTCCCTTTGCGTTGATTAAACTGTTTCACGTGCGAACTTTTCGGAAATCAAACAAATTCAGACTATTTGTGGGATGTGTGAAAAAAACTTGCTTTTAAAAATACAGACACGTGAAACGTGAGCAAATTGCGTTTATTTGCATACTCGTGGCTATTCGTGCTAAAAGCAAAACACTTGAATGAAAAATAACAAATAATAAAATTTTTCTTACCTGACGATTATGTAAAGTTTCTTAGAGATAATTTTATATACTTTTACAATGTGATATATCATATTGTTGAACATAATACAGTATATAAATTGTAATATACACTCACCCGAAAAAAAAGCGGTACACTGAAAATGTGGGAAAAATTCATCAAATTTCAACTGACGATAACTTCGTAAATAATAAAGATAGAAAGTTCTATAAAATATGGAAATGAAGCTAAAAATCTCTACTTTAAGAATCAATTTATTTCAATGTTGCAAAATAAATTTATTGAAAATGGCGGATGACAAAGCGCGAGCATGCAAAATTGAAAAATAATGGTTCGAGTTTGCGACGGTGCACGGTATAAACAAAAAATTGTAGCTTATTGGGATCAAAAGCGTACGAAAGTACAGAGTCTCCTCTTTACGTAATAACTTCGTATAGCATACATTATACGAAGTTATACGATTAAAGAGGAGACTCTGTACTTTCGTACGCTTTTGATCCCAATAAGCTACAATTTTTTGTTTATACCGTGCACCGTCGCAAACTCGAACCATTATTTTTCAATTTTGCATGCTCGCGCTTTGTCATCCGCCATTTTCAATAAATTTATTTTGCAACATTGAAATAAATTGATTCTTAAAG